CGCCCCCGCCGCCCCGCTCCCGCTACCGCAGGCCCCGCGCTCGCCCCTGGCCAGGCCTCTCACCCGCCCCACAGCCCGGGCCGGGGCCCTCGCCCCTCCCTCGAGGGCTCGCGCCGCCCGCAGCCCCAGGCGCTCTGAGCTCAACTGACCCCCCTCCCCGCCTCGGCGCCGGCCCCGACCCTTCTTCCGGCCCCGCCGGCCCCGGCCGCGCGCCCCCGTTACCGGGAATATGGCGGCGGTGGCGAGTCCGGACTAGGCCCGAAGCGCGCGAACCGCTCTCCGCCCAGGCCCCGCCCCGGCCGGCGGCGTCACGCGCACGGCCACTTCCGCCGCACGCAGGCACGCAAGGAAGCTTCTTCCGGCTCAGGCCTCCGCCGCAGTGGGGTACCGGAAGTGGCTGGCGCGCGGTCTTCCGGTGCGGCGGAGAAATGGCTGTGGTCCCTGTGTTGTTTACGCTGGCGCGGGTAAGGGGGTGGAGAGTCCTGGGCTTAGGGCAGGCAGCACCGGGCTGGGTTCCATCTTCCTCCGTGGTCACCGAGGGGAGGGAGCCAGTCCTGCCCGCAGTTCAGGCCAAGGTTAGTCCCCGAGGTCGAAGCCGCGGGCGCCCTCTTCCATCTTCCTGTTCTTAGGTCTCCAGAGCCTGTCGTGATGTCGGCTGGGGTGTTTGTGGTCTTTGTTCTTTTAAGTTATAGGCATTTATCACTGTAAACTTACCGCTTGGTGCTGTTCGGGTTTTATCTCATAATTTGCTGTACTTTGGATTTTAGTTTGTCTCAGGGTAGGGCTTAAATTTCTTTTTGATCTCTTCTTTGACCTTTGGGTTGTTCAAGAACGTGTTAATTTCCACAGATTTGTGAATTTCCCCGTTTTCTTCCTGCTGTTGATTTCCAGCTTTATTCTCATGTGGTTGGAAAAGATACCTGTATGATTTGTCGTCTTAAATTTGAGACGGGACGTGTGACCTGTCCTGCGGAACGTGTATGTGCATCTGAGCAGAATGTGTAGCGCTGGTGGAGCGCCGTGTCTCTCTGTCCCATGCCTTTGGTCGCAGTGCTGTTCATGTCCCCTTTCCTTGTTGGCCGGCTGTCTCCGTGTTCTGGCCATTGTTGAAACTCCGTTGTTTGAAATCTACAGTTATCCGGTGCTGATTTCATGTTTCCATTCGGTTAATGTGTGCTTCATATATTTAGGTGCTCTAATTTCAGGTGCATACATATTTATAATTGTGATGTCTTGCTGGTGAATAAATCCTGCTCTTATGTAATTGTCTCGTGTGATAATCTTGAATTGAATTGAATTTTAAAATCTATTTTGTCTGCTATCCCTTTGCTCTTTTGGATACCATTTTCCTGGAGTACCATTTTGCGTCCTTCCACTTTCAGCCTATGTGTGTCCTTAAAATGAGACGTGTAGACTGTGTATAGTTGGAGCTTGGTTTTGTTTTGCTTTATTAAGTCCATTCATTCTCTTTGTTTTTGTTTTTGTTTTCAGTACCAGGAATCAAACTCAGGACCTTTCACTTGCCAGGCAGCCAGCCACTGAGCTAAATCCCCAACACTTCTTTTTGTTGTTGTTGTTGTTGTTTGTTTGTTTGAGACAGGGTCTCACTATATAGTTCAGGCTGGTGTTGAACTCACTAGGTAGCCCAGGCTGGTTTCTAACTCACAGCGATCCTCCTCCCTCTGCCTCTTGAGTGCTGGAATCACAGGCATGTCCCACCGTGCCCAGCTTCCTTCTTTGTTTTTGATTAGATGGTTTAATCCATCTATATTTACTAAGAGGGAAAGAATTACTATTGTCATTTTGTTCATTGTTTTATCTCTTGTAGGTTTTTTTCCCTTTTTTTTTTGCTGTTGTTCCTTTTTTTCCCCCGGTGACATGCTTAGATTCATTTTTCTCTCTCTCATTATCGTCTTCTACAGGTATTTCTTTGTGGTTACCATGGGCCTTAGATATCTTGTAAGTTTATTTCAAGCTCTCAATTGCTCAATTGCATATTTAAAAACTCTGTTCTTTCATTTCTCTCTTTTGTGTTACGGATGTCACAAAGGTTTGGTTTTGTTTTTTGTTGTTTGGTTTTGTTTTTGCACTACTGGGGATTGAACTCACAGAGTCCTGACCTGCATCCCAGCCCTTTATTTACTTATGTATTTATTTACCTATTTATCTTTAAATTTTGAGACAATTTTGCTAAATTGCCCAGGCTATACTCAAAACCAACTGAGGTTATAGGTGTTCCCCACCTGTAATAAGACAAAACAAAACAAAAACAGACTTGATGGTGCGTTCCTGTAATCCCACACTCTGGGAGGCAGAGGCAGGAGAATTGCAGTGAGCCTAGCCTGAACAATTTAGTAACTTAGCAAGACCCTGTCTCAAAAAATTAGAAAATGAACAAGAAAATAAAAGGGCTGGGCATGTAGCTCAGTGTGAAGACCCTGAGTTCATTCTCCAATATGGGGTGTGGAGGGGATTTACATACCACCTGCAATGTTACAATATTTTGTATTTGTATATTTGCATTCCCAGCAAGTTTTGCACTTTTCTGTATTCTATGTTATAGTATAGCATCCTGTCCTTTCTACTTGAAGGATTCCACTTAGCAATGAGGCAGATCAAGTGGGGATGAACTTTCTAGCTTCTGTATCTGGAAGGTCTTTACCTCCCATTTATGTACGTACATATGTATGTATGTGTGTATTTTTGGCACTGAGGATTGAAGCCAGGTCTTGGCTCTTTTTTCAGGGTTACAGACTCTTTTAGAGGTCTTGTTAAAAACATGTTTCTAGGGCCCAGTCCTAGAGGTTCTGCTTCAGAATGTTTAGGGTGGGTCTTAGGAAACTGACTTTTAGTTCATTACAGGTCGCTTCATTCCATTCATTTGCTTGGGCTGCCATGCAGAATACCACAGCTTGGCTTACACACAGAAATGTGTTTCTTACAGTTCCTGAGGCTTGCGGTCCACACTGGAAGTGTCAGAGGTTTGCTTTCTCTCCTGGCTTGTACTCTCAAGGCCACTTGTCGTTGTGTCCTCACAAGATCTCTGCACACACATTCCTGGTGTCTCTCTTCGGACTTTGACAGTTTAATTAGAACATGTGTGGGTGCACACTTCTTTTGAATTCATGCTAAGAGAGGTCTCTTGGGCTTCTTGAAGGTGGGTGTCCATCTTTTTCTGTAATTTGGGGAAGTTTTCAGCCATTATTTCCTTAACTAATTTTTCTGCCCCCCCCCCCGCCCCGACTCCCATAATGTGTTCACATGTCTGCTTGATGGTCTCCTGTGAATTCCTTAAGCTTTATTTTTAATTATGCTCCTCTGCCTGCATAATTTCAAGGAACCTGTGTTTGAGTTTGTTGTTCTTATATCATGAAATTAGCTCTTGAGTCCCTCAGGTGAATTTTTTTGCTTCAGTTATTGTATTCTTCAGCTCCAAATTTTCTGTTCTCTTTTTTTTTCTTGTATATTTACTCTTTGTTGATATTCTCATTTTATTCAAGCATCATTTTCCTGAGCTTGTTGAGCATCTTTGTGAAGTTATTTCACATTTGTCATTAGGTGGCTCCTGTACCTCTGGGTCTTTAGGCTTGGGTACTGGAGAGTCACTTTGGCCCTTTGACTGGGCCATGTTTTCCTGTGTATTCGTGTACCTTGCAAGTTTGTGTTGGAATCTCTGCATATGAAAAAGCCCCTCTCGCCCAGCTTTGTGGACTGGCTCCATGGAGGACAGACCTACACGAGTTAGCTGGCCAGGGACCCGGGCTCTGCCTTTCCTGTGGAGGTGTCCTCTCCGCCCCCTGGCTGTCCGTTTCCAGCTAGGTGGGTCTGAAGGGCTTCCTTTGCGGAGCTGGTATCCTCCTGCTCCCTCGGGTCTCTGTGCCAGATGGGAGTTTCTTTGGAGCAGGCAGCTCAGCTCTTCCTCCCCAGCCCCTAGATGGCTGCAGTGCACGGGCACGGACCCGTGCTCGCTCTCAGGCACCCATGTCACACACTCCCTGTCTCCTCCTCCACCTCACGGGGTAGCACTGTCCTCTCCCTGCTCTGTTAGGGTCCTCTGGCTCAGCAGCAAGCTGTCGAGCTGTCTTGTTTTCAGTGGCCCCTGGGCATATGGAGTGGACTGCCAGAGCTCTGAGACTGGAGGGACAGAAACACTAAGCCAGGGGTAGGGACTCTGGCACATTGTCGCCTGTGTTCCCAAGGCCCCCAGCAGGTGCCCTTTCCTGTGCACTTAGGCAACAGAAGCGGCCCGCAGGTAAACCGAGTCTGATCGCTGGGCACGTGCTTCCAGTCCACGTAGACACCAGGAGCTGGGGAGTCCGCATCACTGCACTGGAGTGGGGTGGCCACACACCCTCCTGGCTCGCCCTCAGCGTGGGCGCAGCAGTCTTCACCGGGGTTCTCCAAGTCAGAGTCGATCTTTGGGTCATTGTCGAGTCTGCATCCCCGTTGGTGGAGGCTCTGGGGCTTCTGCTCTGCCCCTGTGCTGCCGCCCCTCCTATCAGGCCCTCTAGATGGGGAGCGGAGAGGCTGTGCCACCTGCCAGTCCTCAGCATCCAACACGAACAGGAGCCTGGAATACAAACCATCTGAAAGGCTGCTGGGAATAGAAAGGGGGAGAAAACATTCCTGCCCCAACAAGTGCGGAGAGATTGGCTGCGAACGTATGTGTTGCAGCTCGATTTGGGTGACTCTTTGTCCTCTCTGAGCCTTGGGTTCCTGGATTCCTGCACTGAGAGTGGGAACTATATCAATGTGACCTCTGAAAACTAAATAAGATCCGGTGTGTTCAGCACCTCATTGGCGTCACCGAATGACAGTGATGGTGGCCATTGTTGCTATAAAGATGCCTGTGGCTTGTTTGTTTCAGATGTGGTCAAGACACCATCTCTCATCCCCTCTGCGCAGTGTGACATCGTTCAGATGCTTCCACAGAGGTGAGAGTCCAACAGACTCTCAAAAAGACATGATTGAAATCCCCCTGCCTCCATGGCAGGAGAGAAATGACGAATCCATAGAAATTAAGCGGGCCCGGCTGCTCTATGAGAGCAGGAAGAGGGGAATGTTGGAGAACTGCATCCTCCTCAGGTAGGAGAGAGGTCGGGTTGCTTCCTTTGGACTGGAGACTGTCTTTGCAACCTCTTTCTCTTGCTTGTTTTTAGCCTCTTTGCTAAAGAACATCTGCACCGCATGACGGAGAAGCAGCTGAACCTGTATGACCGCCTGATTAATGAGCCCAGTAACGACTGGGATATTTACTACTGGGCCACAGGTACTGACTGCAGAAAGTAGCATTCTCTGAAACTAGAGTGACTCCAGCTGAGTGGCATCTGAAATTAAGTCCTAGCCAGTTTTAGTCTTTTATTCATGTAATAGATAGTCAACCCTAACACGGTTCAAATGTTACCAAAATGTGCAGAATTTGTTTTACTAGTTAAGGTTCTTTGTCTAGGATCAGAACAGAAACTGACTTTGCCTAACTTAAGCTAAACGGGATTTTAGTGGAAGGGTTCATGAAGCTCACAGGTCAGAATGAAGGTCGAAGAGGAACCGGACGGGAATGGCTTGAGCTGTCCCTAGATGGTGGAAGTTAGTCCAGAGCAATCTTGGATCACAGGCGGCCAGCGGTGTCCGCTTATGCCTTGGGCCCCGTGAGGTTTCTGCAGGTCCAGCCACGCGCAGTGTGGATGCCCACCTCCGCTGACACACATGCGCGGCTCGCAGACCATGCGCTGCCTGCCGTTCCTGTGCCAGGCTCTCGTGGTGTTTGTGACTTTTCTTTTCATATTTGAGGAGCTCTAGGGTGTCCTCTTATTTCTGTGGACGGTAAATGTGATTTTCCCCGTATTCCGTGATCAGTCCGGTCAGAAGTTGCTATGCTATTTATCTTTTCAGTGAACCAGTTTTTTAATTTCATTGTTCTCTGTTTTTCTGTTTTCAAGTCGTTGATTTCTACTCTTATCTCCATTATTTCCTTTCTTCCACTGGCTTTAGGCTTACTTGGTATTTTCTAATTTCTTAAGGTAGAATTTAGCTCACTGGAGACCACTTTTTCCATGCTGTGTCATAAATTTCCGTTTAAGCACCATTTTAACTCCATGTTAGAAATTTTGATGCATTATGTTCTTGTTTCCTTCAAATCAAAGTGTTTTCTAATTTTCCTTCTGACTTTCTCTTTGGCCTATGCATCATTTAGACTTTTTTTTTCTGGTACCAGGGATTAAACTCAGGACCTTGCACTTGCCAGGCAGGCCCAGTGCCACTGAGCTACATCCCTGGCCCCTTTTTAGAAGTACACCACTGAGGTTTCAAGTACGAGGGAATTTTCCAGAATTTGCAGAGGTTGGTTTTATGCCCTGAGATGTGGGTGTCTTGATAAATGCTCCATATGCAGGCGATCACAGTGTCTGTAGGTGTCGGTGGGCTCAGGTGGGTCAGGCTGCCGACGGCTCCTCTCCACATCTGCGCTCTCTAGTTTCCCACGCGCCCACTGTGGGCTCGTAGGCGAGCAGGCTGGGTCTGCACCACTGTGGTGGCCTTGTGCTCCTTGCTCCGTGCGTTTGGAAGCGCTGATGGACTGCCTCCTATGTTGCTGTGCCCAGCCCACCTTTGTCGCTGATGGTACCCTGCATTCTGGGTGTCAGTAGTGGCACTGGCCTGGGGTAGTGGTGGTCTTGGTGCTTGGCACTGCCAGTTCTGGAGCCCTCTGTGCCGGCTGCCATGGCTGCTCTCCCTGCTGGGGTCTGAGGAGAGGCCCCCACCCGTGCTTCTGTGTACACGGTGTATCTCTTCTTCATCATCAGTGTTCCCAGTGTCCTGTCAGCTTCTAGCTGTTTGGATGTGGTTATGTATTGTTAGCTCTCTATCACAGTAATGGACACCAGAGATAATCAGCTTGTAAAGAGAAAAGGGTCTTTTCTTTTTTTTAATTTATGAGGTAGGGTCTTTTGCTCTGTTGCCCAGACCCTCCTGCCTCAGCCTTGTGAGTAGCTGGGACCAGAGGCATGAGCCCCCTGGCTTAGCAAAGGAAGGCCTGTTTGCTTACAGTTTTGGAGGGCCAGTCCATGCCTAGGTGGCCCCATTACCCCGAGCCTGGGTTGAAGCCACACGTGTTAAGGATGGGGTGTCCCGCTGTCCCCTTCACAGACACAGCCCCAGATAACCCTAACCCCCGTGTGCCTCAACTCTGCGAGCAGCCAGCTGGTCTGGCCAAGCTCCCACAGCGCATGTGATCAGTTCCTTTTGGTGCTAATCCTGCTCAGCTCTCTGGGTCTTTTGGGTCAGCGTCTCCGGTTTGCTCAGGGTTTTGGGACGTTCTCAGCCATTATCCCTTCTCTTGGGATTCTGACTGACTTAGAACGTTTTACCATTGTCCTGCGGCTCTTCCATTCTGTTTTGTGTCTCTTCTCTTTGCATGTCGTTTGGCAGTTTGCATTGGGTGGCCCCTCTTGCCCCATCTTCCGCTGATTCTCTCCTCGCTTACGTCAGATCCTGTGACGAGCCTGTTCCAGTTGTCCTACATTTCCACTGCTGTGTTTTTATTTTTCACATTTCCGGTTGGCTTTCTGCATTTCGAGGCCCCTGCTGGGATTCCTCACCTGCTCATGCATTTCGTTTTCCTTTCCATCAGCGCTGCAGTATCGGTCCCAGGGACTTTCAGCTCTCACGTCTGAGTCATCCCTGAGTGCGGCTGCTGCTTTTCCCTTGGCAGTCCTCCTTCCCTTCTTTTGTGTACATATATTGTGTAATTGCTCGCTGGATGTCAGCCCTTCTGGTCCCTTTTAGAGCATTCAGTGATGAGCAGCTGGCTGTGGCGTGTGTGCCTTAGGTTCACTACCACTGTCCTCGGCCGTTGTTCCTCTGGGGATCCATTTGGTGGACTGAGTGGTTGAGCTCGGTTTGGTTTTTGTTTTTGCCTTGGTTACCTTCAGGGCATGGCCAGCTGCTCCCTTAGCTACAGACAGAGGCTGGGGCCTGAGGCTGACCCTTGGTGCTCAGGCCCCTCCCTACGCCTTCCCAGTCCAGGGCTCTCTGTGTGGTGTCTGTTCCTTCAGAAGGAGAGCGCTCAGCCGCCAGTGGCCCAGCCACAGAGCTGAGGAGGCCCAGTGACCGCCTGAGGGTGGAGGGCCTGCTTTCCTTGCCCTCCCTCACCGCACTGCTCCCGCGTGCGGTGAGGAACAGGTGTCCTGCTCCCTCCCCCCTGGCGCCCTCCTGTTGCCTGCCAGGCAACACGAGGCTGCCCCACCAGGCCCCCACGCTCCTCTGGATCTGCGGCTGCCAGGGCCTTGGCACTGTCCACGTCCTCAGTGGTTTCAGCTGAGGTTTTCTCACCTGTTGTACTGCACCAGTGTCTGCTTCCAGAGCCCTGTCCCGGCAGCAAGCTTGTGTCATTTTCCCCTTCAGGAAGAGTCATGGTGCTTGCTATTTTCTGGCTTTTCTTGTTTGTCCTAGGGAGAAGTCCAAGACCCCTTGACCTTACTTTGATGGTCACCACACCCCAGGATGCTGACCCAAGGGCTCTGCCCAGTGGCCCAGCCTCTGCTCTGAGCTTTGCTGGTGGAGACACAGTGAGCTTGGCGGTGGCAGCACACAGCCCAACCCAGGCCCCAAGCTGAGGCTGCCATTCTGGTCTCTGCTCTTGGTGCCTTTTGTGCCTGTCCCCTACACCAGGTTCTCCAGGGTCATGTTGCTCCCTGGGCCTCTGACATCCTTCTGGTAAAGTCCTTCCTGCTTACATTTACTGGCTCTTAATTTCTGTCGCTTATAGCCAAAGCCTGTAACTGCTAGAGAAAGTAGAGCTCTTGTATGGGGACGCTGTAGACCCAAGGCGAAGCACAATGCACCCCAAGACCTCCACGGGAGCCTGAACCTGGGTGGCACTGAGTGCTGAGTGTTCTCTTTTCCCTTGTCCGGCAGCTCTATCGAATGGTGCAGAGTTCACCTGTCCTTCCATTCGTGCCCCGTGGCTCTTGGCCATGATCTTGGTGCTCTCAGATGTAATTAAGTAAACTGGGGTTGTGAGAACACAGGCCGGGATACCACCAGTCTGTCTGGGAAGGGAAGTGGCTACTGAGGGACCAGTGGCTGGTGGGCAACCATGGTCACCTGGACCGAGGACGATTCATGGCCAGGCCAGGCCAGGCCATGAGATTGTATCAGAACAGTGTGCTGTGTTTACCTCCCGAAATTTCCATTCGCTATTTTAAGACTGTGGGTGACCCCAGGGGACTGAAACCGCAGATGGTGAAGCCTACAGAGAGCACAGCAAAAGGCAAACGCAGAGGGCAGTGGCCCGGCCAGGACTGGGGCCCGGGTTGGATGTGCTTCCCACCTCGCGGCAGCGTGGTCCCTGTCCTGGCTGCTGGCCTGCGTTCACACAGGTGTGGTCCCGGGCAGTTTGAACAGGTGGCAGCAGCTGTCCAGTGACTTTGCAGTGGGCAGGCTGGGCGGAGCCCGTGCAGCCCGTGCGGCCCAGGTCTTGTGTGCTGGAGGAAGGGTGGAGGTGGCCCTGTTGCCACCCTGGGCTCTCAGCAAGGCTGCTGTGCCGAGTTGCAGCTTCTTGCGACCGACCCCGATGGAGAATGTGTAACCCTCTGTCCACTCCTCTCTTGCAGAAGCCAGACCAGCCCCGGAGGTATTTGAAAATGAAGTCATGGCCCTGCTGAGGGACTTCACTAAAAACAGAAACAGGGAGCAGCGGCTGCGTGCCCCGGACCTGGAGTACCTCTTAGAAGAGCCGCGCTGAGCTGGGCGCTGCTGCCAGCACGGGCTCAGCTCGGGACCCAGCCCAGCTTCCTGCTTCTGCTCAGACACTGCTCCTCCCGTTGGGCAGAGTAGGGGACAGCCCAGTGACGCAGTGTTACTGCGCCTGCAGGGGCCGCACGGTGCGTTGCTTCACCTGGCTGCCGTGGCCCAGGCCTGCCACAAGAGGGCGCTGTGGCTCCATCCCAGTGCACGCACAGGGAAGGGGTGGCTTGGCTGCCTGTGCTGTGGGAAGAGCCCCTGCCACCGGCACCGCTCCTCTGGCTTGTTCAAGTGCGCCCCTTTCCAGCCTGCTGCGCTCCTTCCTGGCCGGGGAAGCTGACCTGGGCCCCCGAGCCCAGCTGGCCTGCTGCGGTCGATGCCCTCTCCACACGCCCTTTAGCCGCACTCAAGCAGTAAAGCGTCCTGACCCTCTGATTGCTGTCCAGCCTGCTCCTGTGCTGCCTGTGCCCGTGCGTTCTCGAAGAGCGGCTCCTCCTCCCAGGTGGCACACAGCACAGCCGCCGTCTCCGGTGCTCTGCTCGGGCTTGTGGTGGCTGACGGTGACAGTGACGCCTGACAGGCAGGTGCTGGCTTGGAGTCACCAGTGTTCAGCTCCGCCCTGAGGACGGGTGGGAGGGGTCCGGACGGGACTGGACAGGGTCGCCCTGAGGCAGCTCTTCCCCGGCTGTGTGACGAGGGTGAGGGGGACGAGGGTCGGGTCGCTCAGAGGGGCTGGGAGCATGCTGGCGGGCAGAGCCGAGGAGGGAGTGAGTGTGACACGGGAGGCGCACCGCGAGCTTCAGCGCCCCTTGCTCAGGACGAACATCATCTCCGGAAAGGCCCGCTCTGGGCATGTGGCATCAGGTCTGTTGTGAGGGTGGGAAGGTCGTTCATGTCTCTCCAAGGTCGAAAGGCGAAGAGACTGCAGCTCCGTCTCCCCAGAGTGCACCGTGCACTTGGAGGGGTGGCAGGTCGCCGTCTCAGAACTGGCCTCTGCGCCAGGCCACTGAGTGCGCCCCAGAGCGTGTGGTTTGCACTTGGTGAGCAGTGTTGCTCTGGAAGTGAACAAGTACAGTGCGCTGGCCACAAGTGGGGTGCGCTGACTGGCCCGAGCTTGAGTTTCCCTGGCTCTCACCTCCCTGTCCCCAGTCGGGGACACGGGTGAGAAGAGTGAGGCGAAACCCACGAGGCCCTCGGGTAGCACCAGCACTGGGCTGTGCACCTGGGGCATCTGAGACATGGGAGCCTTTGGCCCTGACGCGGCCTGGGACCGCAAGTCTGCGTCCCGACGGAGAGCCTGGCTGCCGTGGCTGTGTGGAGAGTCTCGTCTGCAGTCAGAAAGCCGAGCCTGTATGGTGACCATGCGGCAGGTGACCCCGGGGCAGTCTGATGGGAGGGAGGCTGGGGCAGAGGCCGGAGGTGCTGGAGATGTGGGCCCAGGCTCTGCTGCAGTTCCCGGTATGTTCAGAGCAGGGTTTGTGTGCACTGATGGCTCTGGGCTGCAGATGTGCAGGCCGGCCGGCAGCGACTTCCCATCCATCCCTAGCAGGTTATGCCACAGACCCCAAAAGCCAAGCATGCAGTGGGCCCCGCGGCTTTGACCCCTTCTTGCCCTGACTGTCTCACTTAGCGTAATGCCCAGCTGCATGGTGCCTGGGAACGGCCAGCTCCTGAAGGGTTGTTTTCCTCCAAGCTGCTGGCTTGTGTCACCTCTGAAAGGGAGTGTTCTTTTCGACTGAAGCTGCTCAGTGTCAGGCCCTCGGGTGCTGTGCAAACAGTTTTTCCCTTTATTAGGCATTAAGGAAAAGAGGCTGGCCACAGTGCATTTCTAAAAAATTAATAAATGCACAATGAGGGCTAGCAGCCCCCGCAGTATTCCGAGCCAAGCGGGACTCTGCTCTCAGCCTGACAGTCCATGCTGACCTCATTCGGGCTGGGCCCGCCCTTCCCCCATGCGGGATGCCACATGGATCAGGAGAGGCTGCCCCCTTCCCCGCGTGTCCGCCTGGGCCTTAGCAGAGTGCCACACGGCCGCCTGGCTCTGGCTGTGCGCTGCCTGCAGGTTCTAGGTCTCTTCAGCCCCAGCCAGGGCAGCACCGCCCCCAGGCCCACTGTAAACCAGCCAGGCTGAGATGGGGCGCCTTTGCCCTGAGTGCAGCGATGGCGCTGACAGGAAGCTCCTGCACCCAGGGCCAAGTGAGGTGGGCGCTGCGCCTCAGGGTGCAGAATGTGACACTGCTTGGCCCCACCCAGGGAAGCCACCTCAGTGCCTGTGAGCCCCGGGAGCAGTGTCAGCACCTCCCTCCCAGGGCCTTGGGACCGGGCTGCTCCCCGGAGGCTCGAGGCTCGTCTTGGTGGTGCTTGTGCACAGTCCCCGGCAGGAGGTGCAGGAGGTTAGGCAGGCAGGCGGGGCCTCTGGGCCATCTTGAAGCTGAGCCCCATCCAGATTCCGCTTCCTCCCAGGCCCTCTCCGGATGGTGTCTGGTCTGCTGGGGCTGCAGCATACTCCCGCTAGCCCTGGGGCTGCCCTTGCCCTTGCCCTTGCCAAGGCCGTATCGCGGGCCCATGTGGCTGGCTCCCAGGCGAGGGCTGGGGGTTGGCTCAGCCATCACTCGGCCTGGGCCTCTGACTCCTGTCTTGGCTCAGTCGTCTAAGAGCTGCAGTGCTAGATCCATGGTCCAGCTTCTGGGCAGCAGGTGGCTAGTGTGGTCCAAGCCAAGAAAGTGACTCTCAGAAATCTAATCTGCAAGCTGCACAGAAATCACTTCCCTGGTTGCAAATTCATTCTCACCAGTCCAAGTGTGATTGGCAATTTCTTTCTCCCTCCCTCCCTCCTCCTTCCTTGCTTGCTTACTTTTGCAGTGCTGGGGATCAAACCCAGGGCCTTGAGGTGCTAGGCCAGCTCTGCCACTGAGCGGAGCATCACCCCCAGCCCTCTATAGTTTCCTCCCCCTTTCTGTGTTCATCTGTGCTCGAATACAGGGCATTTCCATTTGTTCTGGGAGTCAGCAGAGCCCTAACCCCGGCACGCACACCCTGTCCTGTGGCTTCACCGGCTCAGCCCTGGGCCTGTGCTGACCAACAGATGCCAGTGACAGTGAGGGAGGGGAAGCCTCGCCCTTGGGCTCCTGGCTCCTGAGCTCCGCCACCCCGCAACGTGCTCAGACCACAGCGTGTCAAGGAAGCCCGGTCTCCCCAGCCCAAGTCAGCTGACAGCAGCACCTGATTGGGACTGGAGGAATTAGCCAGTGGTGGCCCAGATTCAATCCCCAGTACAGCAAAACATAAACACTTTCATTAGATTGGCTTGACATTTTGTCAGAACCACATCCATAGCTGAACGTGGTGACACATGCCTGTGACCCAGCTATCTGGGAGGCTGAGGCAGGAGGGTCACTTCAGCCCAGGAGTTCACGGCCTGAACAACAAACTGCATCTCATTAAAAATTAAAAACTTGCTGAACCGGGGGTTTAGCTCAATGGTTTTGCCGCCTGCTGCACAAGCCCGAGGACCCAAGTTGGATCCCCAGTACCAAAAGTTCCTAAGAAAAATGGAACTGGTTATAACTAATTTTCAATAAAAGGAAGCTGTTTAATATCATTTGTATCTAAAGCAAAACGAAATTCTTCATCAGAATGCAGTTCCCTTTTTAAACCTTGACGTGAGCCAGCATTGCGAATGCAGAAGCCCGCGGAGTCGGCAGGGAGGGCCGATTCCAGACAAACTGTGACGCAGCGAGAGCAGCCGGCCTCGGTGCCCCAAATGGTGTTCACTGCAGGGCTGTGCGCGAGCGTTCAGGGCTCACGACCCCTGAGGTCCTGCCACCTGTGCATCAGAGGAGCTGGGCCTGGTCAGTGCCAGGAGCCCCCAGGGCCACCCAGCACCTCCACCCACCTGAGACTCACTCGTCTCGCTCATTCCTCTAGAGACCAGCAGGAGGCGTCTTTGCTGCTCAGCGGCGGGGGAGTTCGGGACCTGGGCGGTGGGGCCCGGCGTCGAAACCAGTGCTGGCCCTCTGCTGGCGCAGCTCCTGAGAAGGCCTTCGTGTGCCCCTTGGATTGGCCACGATTTCCAAGACCTGGGAACTAAATGTACAACTTCCAGAGGAGCTGCCAGCAGGGGACGCACGCCTTTGGGAGCACGGGGCTCCTGGGGCCCCGGCCCACTGCCTGCAACTGCTCTTTGCCGCTGCTTCAGATCCCGGTGCTCGCTCCAGGCACGTGACCAGCCTGGCCTTGAACCCACAGTGATGCTCCTGCTTCAGCCTCCTGGGTGCTGGGATGACAAGTGTGCACCCCCACGCCTGCTTGCCCTGAATTCTAAAATAAATCTATTCGCTTCCCATCACTAGAGATGCCTGAGACGAACATCAAGAAAAAAGGCGTGTTCTGGCTCGCAGTTTCTGAGGCTGTGCCTGGGATTGGACAGACGGTGGTGGAAGACACGGCCGTGGGGAGAGCAAGCTGCCCACCTGGTAGCCAGGAAGCAGGCGAGGAGAAGGGGCCAGGGGCCCACAAGGTCATGCCCCCAGCACCCCAAGACCTGGGCTACGCCCTCCCCAGTGGCTGCAGCACTGGCCCACAGCGCCCCTGGGGATGGGGCCAGGGCTCGCAGGGGCCTCCAGCATGCAGACCAGACTGGAGCAGCGTGGAGCCTGACCATTAGGATGCTTCGGCTGGTAGCACAGGACCCCCCTGGCCAGCCCCGGGTGCATCCCAGCCTCAGTCAGGAGGGCTCAGTTGTGCCGTGGCGACAGCCCGACCTCAGCGTCCCCAGGGCCCAGCAGCTGTCAGGTGGTCTCTTGGGCCTGCTGGCAGAGCGGCCCCAGACCATCACTGTCATGGGTTGCGCCTGGCACCCCCCCGCAGAGCCCCAGGCCCAGGCTTCGGCAGATGGGGGAGGGAGGACGCCTGGTCTCTTCTGCACATGGACACCAGTCCTGGCCAGGTGTCACCACAGAGCCACGAGGCACAGGCTCACCGGCCAGCAGCGGGGTCAGGCCCCTGGTAGCCGACATTGATGTCCAGCACCATGACGTGAGCCCAGCCCTGTGCTACCCCATGCACCTTCCTGGCCACCCAGCTTTGCTGGCTCCAGCATGCTGTGTGGCCGTCCATGGACACCCCGCATCTCTGAGCCTTCGTGTCCGTGTCTGTCGGTGAGGGCGATCTCCTGGCATGCCAGATACTGCACCCGGACCTGTGACCTGTAACCTGGCTGGCTGAGGGCTGGGGTCAGCCAGGCCCTGGTGTGAGTCCTGCCCTGCCGCTGCAGTGGGCGTGCACCCATGTGTGCGTGTGGGTGTGCGTGTGTGAAGCACTGCCCTGTCCCAAGCAAGCCTGTTCCACAGAATCAGCTGTCTGAGACCGGCTGCCCTGCTCGAGTGCCCATGGGAGAGGACACCATGCTCTGCACACCTCCCCTCTGCACAGAG